ATTTTTTAAAATTTCATTTTGTATATTTTTCGCATAATTATGATAATTATTCGATGTTCCGGAATGTTCCAGAATGTTCCGGGATTTTCCGGAATGTTCCATGTTCCTGGTTTTATCGACGGCCGCAACTAAATTACAATTTAAAATAAGTAACTAATTAACAGTTACAATGATAATGTAAGCAGCGAAAAGCTTTATCTTTATTTATACAGTTTGCATGGTTTATATGCAAATTTTTCTCAGCTTCTGTCATTCTAATTGTTAATTAGTCAATTAGCTCCAGGGGGCGCTAAGATGACAGACCCCGGGAACGAGGTTGGCGAGACGAGAAAGTCGCGACTCTTCACACCTGCTCGCAGGCTAGTCACAAACTCGCATATCGTCACGTCAGTATTATTTTGGGTCAAGGTGGGGTTTATGGGGTTACAGTTAAGTTTAACTGCTGTGAACTGAAGACAAGCTGATATATAGCAGAGAAAAAATCAGGAATAAAGCCAGGTGAGCTATTACGATCGTGTTTAATAAATCCCTCAAACCGGAGTACATTGAAGTTGCAAACAGTTAAAGCAACAAAAACAAATTTTCGCAGTGGTTCATCCCTCTGAAAATTGAATCAGAACTTAACTTAATATATCAAGCGATGGGACCAGAGATCTATCAGTTTTAAAGCTCCCCACAACTTATGAAGGAGGCACGGCCCCTCGTGCCCAAGTTGACAAAAATACTAGGACCTATACTGGGAGCAATGAAGCAAACTGTTATACAGTAGAATTACACAATGAAATGGCTTATAATGATGTTTTTCCTTCCAAGGTTAGCTCAAACACATATTTTTCTCACACCTCATTTTATTGAAGTGTCGCGGAGAAAACAAAAATTTCCTATTTAACAACCCTCCTTCAAAACGCTGGCTGTTATATTTCTCGTCTAGGTATTGCAAGTGAACCGCTAGGTTTCTAGTGTTATTTTGATTGAAAGAAGGGTTAATATAGCGACAAAAATGGTGATATCGCTGCGAAAGAACCTAGTGGCATATGAATGTAATGTCACATGGCTCAGTTCAAGCTGTCCCATCCCTCCCTGACATTCTTCTCACTCATGCAAAGTTTTCTTCATTAGGTTTTCTTTTACTGCCTGAAAGAACCAGGTGACGGTTGTGGAGGCGAAACACCATTGGCTAAAAACAGCGACATCCTGTCCAAAATGGATCCTGAAGTTGTACGAAAGTTTGAAGAAAAAAAAAAACTGCAATATGTGCGCTACTTGCCCGACAAATCTCACAGTGAATACTTGAACTCGGAGCACGTGTTCAGAACTGAGAATAGAAAGGTACTGTATTAGGGATAATTAACAATTAGATTATGAGCTCGAGGCCTCATAGAATTCGAGAGTGAATAATTTAATTGTTGTTGTAGAATTCTAACCGAAATTTACTTCAAAGGACGGTTTCCAATTACTTCTCGACGTATTATTAAACTTTGTGCCTTAGAAAGATCGCTCGGATTGAATTATCATTTGAAGTGAAGTTGTGCACGCGCGCCATGATATTTTTTCAAAATTTCAAGATTTTTAAAGTCAAGAACCATTAATATTTTTCTGTTAGTCTTCTCAGGAATTTATTTACCATTTGCATCAAAATGTTCCTTCCAAACTTTGTTTAAACGAAAAAACGCCGCCATTTCGTAGACGACCTCCGGCCACTACACTCTAATGGCTGATAGTATACGAGTAGCTCAGCCAATAAGATTACAGCATTCGCATTAGTATACTGGTAAAATTCTACTAATGAGTATTTAATAGTATAAATCTACAAGCGTTCTATGACGAATGCCGTTCGCCGATTGGCTACGCTACTCAGTATCTATTCTGTTGTAGTAGTGAGTAGCCTAGCGATGTGCGCTTGTTAGCCAACTGGCGGCTTCTTCGCGTTTTCGAGATATCTGTAAAGAGGATTTAGATAAAGTAGTGGTACAGTAAGTGTAGTAGAGTAGGACTAATAGGTCTGTACCAGCGTGCTGTGCCAGTTGTAAGGTTACCCGAACATCTGGGAATCTCGGTAATCAGTTACATTTTCGGCGGTTTTTTCCAGTATCAGTTATTAATAAAAGTTCAGCCCGTTTCGCAGCAAAATACCAGGCCCCAGTTGTTGGAAGGCTGGATAACGCTATCCACCGGATAAATCGCTATCCAGTGGATAAGTGTTAACAAAACAAACCACGCTATCCACTGGACAGTGATTTATCCGGTGGATAACGTTATCCACCTTTCGAACAACCCGGGCTAGTACATTTTGAAGTTGGGTGGTTTCTCGGTTTTGCCGGCGTATATAGCCAGTTTGGCTTAATCGATCGAGAGTCGCAAGAATACTTAATTCTCAATAACGGGATTGTTTCGTTCTTTCTTTCGCATGTGAAAACATGCATGCATGGAAGCCATGGACTCATATGCCGTTGAAACTGCCACTGAATAGTTTTCAGGCTTCTTTGCAGTCAGTTCAAACTTAAGTCATGGCTACCACAATCATTTCTACTTATTAGACCCATTTGTTCCTCAGCTCACTAGCTTGTGATGCGTCATGCATCGCCCTCGTTTTTTGATTGGATGAAAATAATCAAAACCTATCAAGTGCCAAGAAGTAACTTGTTCCCCATCAGTGACTCACAGATCTGTTTCTCACGTTATCAGGAAGCAGAAACACGAGCGAAGCAACAAGGTTATAGCTTCAGATGGGACCCCAGCGGGGATCTACACTTGTGGCACATCAAACCAGTGTTCATTCGTCACCCGGTAACGGGAGAAAGAATTTGGTTCAACCAGGCGTATAATCACAATAACACGCACGAAAAGGCCAATCCAAGATTTATCGGCACTGATATCCCGGATGAAAAAATGCCTCGCAATACTCCGGCGACGGAAGTGAG